GCCTCCAGCTTTCAACAGGGGGCACAAAGACTACAAGAAATGCCAAAACGCCCACCCCCTCACCCAGGAAAAAAGAAGAGGAGGAGGAGGAAGAGGACAACAATGACAAGAAGTGGAAACAACCAGAAGTCCACTCTTGTTTTGAAAAATCATTAATGTGTTAGATGAGGGGTGGGGAACTGTGATCTATTTGAAAGGAAAGTAGTTGCTCTTGCAGGATCCAGAGGTAGGAGAAATTCATCTTGTTTCGGTTGGAACAAGTGGTAGCTGGGGAAGATCTGGCAGCCCCAGAGTCGCCTCCTGCTCCCCCTGTGTTTTAAAGGCTGAAACCAATGCTCCAAACTAAGGCGATTTCAACTGCAATTTGGAAAGAGGATGTAGAATTACTGCCCTCCGGCACCAAGTTGCTGACTAGTTAAAAATTAATGCATCCTTTTGGGGGAGTTTTCCGTGCGTTTACAGAGGCTTTTTACTGAAATCGCTCAGGTTAACAATATTAAACACTTTCTAATGGCATTTCGATAAGCAGAGATGGGTGTCACTGTTTTGGGGAGACAAGGCTAAAAATGCAGGCAATCAACTGTGCATTAGCCAAAACACTCGGGGGGGGGGAGAGAGAGCATTCTTCTGTTTTGACGCAAAGGGGGGGAAAAAGCACGAATTTCCATCCTTTGTGTGGGGATTCGTTCTAAGCACAGTGAATAAAGCCTACCAGGCAGAGGCAGAAAGAATAAGGTGAGCAACAGGTCAAGCCAGCCTGGACTAGCATCGTTCCCAAGCTTATTCTCTCCAAACAATAGCACAGAGAGAGCGAGAGAGAGAGGTTTCTTTTTCCCTGCCAGAGTGAATTTTAGCTTTGGGTTAAGAAAAGGAGGAAGAGCAGAGAGGAATTGATGAGATGGGTCTGTGTAGCGGTTTTAAATTGATTCCAGCCTAGCTGAAGGACTAGAAGAAGACCAGAAAGAATATGAAAAAGCAGAGCTGTAGAGAAAAAAAAAATAACCATCTGAAGACTGTACGTTAAAACATCTTCAAAGAACAAAAAACCTTTATTAGGAGCAACTCTATAGCCACTACAAAACGCAAGCTTTCAGACTCTCCAAAAATGTTTGTTGGACTTTGGAAGACTCCTTTAAACAGATCGCTTAAAGATGAAGGCGGGAACCAAGAGGTCTGTGGGACTCTGGCCAACGGCGACTGTGTGCTTCCAGACACACCAGGCATGTTGCCGAGAGCTGATAAAACCTCCGAGTCTAGCCAAAGTTGTGTGTTTATGTGTGCTTACCTAGGTACGTGAAAGAGCTCTGTGTGTCATATAGATACAGCTAGAGGAGCACAGATACACTACACACGTGGACACGGTGGGAAAGGGCTGTATCTACCCTTTTTATGGGCCACTCTAAAGGAGCCACCACAGAAGGGGCCCTGCTTTGATTATTATGGATAATCTTAGAACGGCAGAGCTGGAAAGGGTCTCAGAGGAGGCGCAATGGGTCTATCTTTGGGTTTGGGGCCAGAACCTTGAGCAAGGAAACTGCACCGCTGTTTGACCACCAAAAAGTAAACGTTTGTTCCTAGGGTATGAGGCAGATGCAACCCTCATTTTCATCCACACCCCCAGACAGACAAGCCGGCTTTAGCGAAAGATGTGGTAAGGTTAGCATCGTGAGAACGCCGAAAGCTGCCGTTCATGGTCTCAAGGCTTCGTCCCATGAAGCCCAAACCCGACACTTCGGGCAGCAGAGAATTCTTCTCTCGCCTTACCTAGACCTCTCCCATCGGACTGCTAGCCAACTGATGATCATGCAGAGCTTCTGGATTCAAACAAGATCAGGAACGGGTTTTTTTGGGGGGCGGGGAGGCAAGGACCCCATAGACTTCCACAGGCGTCCACCGAAGGTTCATGTGTGTGAGTGAGAAAGTCTGAGTCTCAAAGAGAATTATATTTTCTGCTGCTAAAAATAAATAAATAAGAAGCTGCAGGGTATTTTCCTCCCCCCCCCAATTCATTTTTTGATTGTTTGTTTGTTCTAACACCAAAGACGGCTTCCTTGTAGACACAGGGGCGGCTGCCTAGGAAGAATGAGGCAGAGGTGCTTAGAGGTTGGGGAGAGAGAGAGAGAGAAAGAAAAAGAGCCACAATCATCCAGCGGCTCAGAATTATGCCTCTCCTTTGTATTCCCATCCTACTGCAGACAAAGTGAGTCGCCCGCACATTGTGTGTTCAAAGATCCATCTCATTTGGTGGGGGGGGAAGAAATACTGAAGCTAAAGGAACAAGGGGGTGTCGTTCTCAAAAGCAATTATGCCACTGCTTCGGTTTCATAATTTGCACCACCTGATTAAGCACATTATGGTGTTCATCCCCAAGAATGAAATAAGTAACTGGAATTTTACATTTAAAGAACAGCCTGCTTAAGGCTACAGAGGACAGCTGCAGAAACCGTTCCATTTCCATCTCGTGTCTCTTCCCACCCCACCCCACCCCATCGCTGCCGCCGGCGCCACCGTGGCGCTCCACTTCTGTCTGGGAGGGGAGGAAGAACCGTCTCCACTATAGCTCTTCTTTCCTTACAAAAAGAATAATAGAAATTATTCTCTGAAATGGGAACAGGAGGAATAAAGAGCATACAAAACCTTGCAAAATTGAATATAATTATGATGATGTGCCACCCAGTGGCAATTGACTTAGGGGAACCCCAGTAGGGTTTTCCACTGGCTGGAGAGCTCAGGGGATATGGTCTCTGGAGCTGCAGAGCCAGAGGTTGGGAGTTTGATTCCCCCACGGGGCCTCTCTGACCAGGGCTGGACTGGATGATCTCTAGCTCAACCATTCTAAGATTAACATTGAACTGCTGGATAGCTCAGTGGTTTAAGCATCTGACTGGGGAGTTCGATTCCCCGCCGGGCTTCTTGGGAGAAGAGCCAGCCTGGGTGGCCTTGGGCCAGCTGCAGAGTCCCAGGGCTGCCCCCTAGTGGAAGGGAATGGGAAACCACCTCTAAGTACTCTACCTGAAAAGGGTTGCCATAAGCCAGAATTAACAGCACATGATGATGATGATGATGATTAATAGGACTTACAAGATATGTTAGCTATGGAAGGATTTACCTGTTTCACACCACCAGTGAGTTTCCACGACTGAGTGTGGATTCAGACTCAGGTCTTCCGAGTCCTAATCTGTCACACCAAGAGAGCAAATCGAAAGGGCTCTCACAGAATAAAAAGGGATGCAAAACTGGCCCTGCAGTTCAGCGCTCTGCCACTTCAGGCCCATTAAAAACCTCCCACGGTTGTGTTTTCCCCTCTCCCTGCATTCATCTTTTCTAACAATAAGGTACAGAAATATTATTTATTTGATTTATATACCACCCCCATTAGTGCAAGCTCTACTCTGGGCCGTTGACGAGTTACTACCTCACAAGACCCCTCATAACCAAAGATATTCAACAACATGGCCATTCACAACTATAGGTCTATAATTCATTTTTTAAAAAGGAGGCAGAAAGAACAATACAAGAAAAAAATGTTTCTAATTTTTTTTAACATTAACATTAATATCAATGACTGAGAAAGAAAGACATAAATACCTAAAACAAGTATTCACGAAGGCTTTCACAGCCAGGATCTAATGATTGTTGTGGGTTTTTCGGGCTCTTTGGCCGTGTTCTGGTCTTCCTAACGTTTCGCCAAACTCTGTGGCCGGTATCTTCAGAGGACAGTGCTGTCCTCTGAAGATGCCAGCTACAGAGACTGGCAAAACGTTAGGAAGAACAACCTTCAGAACACGGCCAAAGAGCCCGAAAAACCCACAACAACCACCTAAAACAAGCTTTATGGTTCTGACCAAAGGCCAATCCAGTCCTCTCTGCGCTGACTGTTCCATAGGCTAGAACTGTCAATCATGTAAGTCACACTAGACATGCTGGGCATTGTGTACTTAGACTGAAACCATTTTTCCTCCAACAAGGGGACTTCCCCAGAAATGCATGTCTCAGCAATCAAACTTGCACCCTGAGACCATTTTAACCTTCCAAAGATCCATTGCAAAACACAGCACGTGAAATGCAAGATACAAAGATAAGGAAAAATCCCATGCCAGGAGAGATGCATGTCACCCTGTGTGTGATCACAAACTACCTTTTCAAAAGGAGCTCAGAGTATGATGTAGTTTGACCTTGAGTTGCCCCCTATATAAAAGGAACTCTGGACTTTATTTTGTCCATTATAAAGATTCAGGAAACCCTTTGCTCCTTCACTGAATATGCAACAGGGATACCGAATACCCCATTTTTTTCCCTCCTTGTCTTAGGATTGCATTCTAAGATTTCAATTTTCCTCTTCAAGATGTGCTTTGGAGATCAAAAGCTCTGGCTCGGGAGCTATACGGCATTACACTACAAAAATCCGTGTGCTCTTCTTGTCCCCACCGAGGTTTCAATCTACCAAGGAAGATACAGAAATTGCGAAGGCGAGAAGTCCTTCTGTTCTGTGTAATTCTGTCACAGACGTGACGCAGCTTTAGCCAGAGGCTGGTTTCCTAGAGAGAAGTCATGTGCACCGATATCGAAGTCTCTCCATGGAAGACCATGTTGGCATTTTAAATGTTTTTTATTAAAAAGAAACCAAAGAATTGGCTAATGTTTGTTTGTTTGTTTGTTTTTAAATCTTGGACGGCCCATCACCTACATTCCCTACAGCAAAGGCTGTGTGTGTGTGCCTGCAACGGGTTGCTACATGCCAGGAAAACCGTTCCTGGAAACCCAAAACTCATTTAAAATGCAGCCGACTGCTGTGCTTAGACATCGCCAGCCTGGGAGAGGGAAGACGGAAGGCTCAGCACGGTGGCCTCCCTGCTCATCCATCACTTCTTAATGACCCACCAAGCACATTCCATAGATGGCTGCCTCCAGCAAAAAAGATAAGGGTGGAGGGGCATGTATGTGTGTGTGTTTGAGTGCTTCTCTCTCTCCCCCCCACAAAAAAACCAACAACAACCAACCTTTCTTTTCATAATCCAGCTTCTCTCCTCCGCTCCTGCCCAGGCTGTCCAGTGGCTGCATCATCGTTTGACCCCCAAACTCATCCTCCCGGTAGCAGAGCCCAGGCCGCAGGGGGTTCTCCTCCTCCTCCTCGTAGTCGTAGTCGTCCAGGATGGGGGTCTCGCGGATGGGCATGCCGATGACGGAGGTGTGGGCCTGCAGGCGGGAGCTGCGGAAGCTCTCCCTCCCCTGCGTGCCCAGCAGGACGGACGGGATGTAATGGATCTCGTGGGTGGCTTCCGTGCTGGCGCTCTTCTGCGGGATCCGGCGCTGCTTGCACCAACGGCGCTGGGCGTACAGGGCGACGGTGAACACCAGCAGCAGCAAGAGCAGAGCTATCAAGCCACCCTAAATAAATAAATAAATAAATAAATAAATAAATAAATAAATAAA